CGGTGTCACCGTCGTCTGCTTGGCCAGCAACCATTGGCCAATATGAAGCAGGTCGTCTGATATGTTCAAGAGGAATCAGTCTGCCGACAAATACTCTGATCCAACGGGGCAAGACCAATGCGACCGTCCCATAGCAGTTCGACCCGTTAGCACAGTCTGAACCAGAGAGTGTCGCAGAGGGGAGGAGACCTGTCGACCTGTATTGAAGATACGGCTTCATCATACAAAAAACATGATACACCGGCTTCCACTTCTCCTACGTCATCTTAGACAAACCCCGTGTCTCACCTGTCGCAGGTTGGATCACTTGTGCGTCTCCCTACCTCTAATGCCGATTCGGTTGGAGACTCCTCCTTTCACTCTGTACATCCTGCGAATACGTCACTGCACAACGATAAGTCTTCAATTGGCAAAGGCAACGGGCACGCTGGAGCACAACTGCTGCAGACGAGCACGTATGCCACACTGATTATCGATACTGTCCCTTACCCTCCTCGACAACCAGAGAAGTGATCCGGTCAATGAATATTTCAATACACAGGTGTACATCAATGCCCTTGTCAAAGTGCTTGCCGACGAGCGTGCATACCTGAGCGAGGTATGCTATCTGATCCAGCAGAGTCAACCTTTTCTCAGAATTCAGTGGATGATGCCGACTAAGACTAGCCCGTTCGAATCTTTGTCGACGTCCCCAGCTCAGTGCAATATTTATTGTGCAAAGACACCGGAATCACCCACATGTAGTACCGGCTGCAACTTTCGAGCGCAGGGAACCCTTCTGTCGTTGCTGTCGGCTGGGCCGTGGCGGTAACGTGAAGTGAGGATGCCATACATTCTCTACTGAGGTCAAAACAGACAGAACCGCATTTGTGAATGCAGCTAGTACGTGGACGAAGTCTGGCCAGCCAGGTAGTACACACACCGCGTTGTGCGTGGTAGGACGCGTGGAAATTGGTAGTACCAAATCGGAGCGGGGACGTTCTACCTGAGCAAAGTTAACGAGTCCATATGGGGAGCAGTGTTGTGTCTGTGTGAGATGACGCCGAGCGTCTCCGACTCTATTAGCTGTACAGGCAACCGGCGAGGACCAGTAAAAGTGCAAGGTCCAATCGGAGAGAATGAACGATTGATGGGTTATCCACCTGTAAAGGTGCAAGGGTGTAGGTAAACAGGCATGTATGTGCTCTGATGGCAGCGAGCGTACGTACTCCAATCAAATAGAACAGAAGACTCGAGAAGGCGAAGGGAGACGAGCCGCGAGGTACGTGAGAGGCGTGACAACCTGAACCACAAAGGGAACCAATATGGAAAAAGACAGCATAAGGCCGGGATATGAGCTTATACCGTACTTGGTGTATGTGCATTTCAACATAATTGGCCGCACATTTAAAAAGATTGTGTTCTGGGAACTCCTCCACTCCTGCACAAAAACGACAGAGCCAATGCTCCCTCGGAACGAACTTTCGACCGAGGGTAGGATCCTCATGACACAAGACCTCCAGCCCAAGTGAATTATGTCTAATGGGTACTTGTGTGATAGCATTTAAATGGTCGTTGCGTACGATCTTGAGGTAAAGTTGGAAGCGGAGTATTGCCGCAGCCTGCAGTGGCCCATCGCGCGATGCGGGGTCTTACCGGTCTCTCCGAAGGTAAAGCTTCGAGAACTCGTTGATCTCCCCTTGAAAATGGTCTCGCATAACCTTCTCAACCTGACTGATGAGGGCTTTGGAAGCGCCATCTTGCTTGAGTCTGGCTAGTGATGGGATCTGCATGCGCACGAACGGCTGGCAATTCTTGAGAGCCCACGCGATGTCCCGGATTTATCCTGCAACTGTCGCCGTATACATTGCGTAGAGCTCGCGAAGAGACGCATTGACTATGTGCAACTCATAAAAAAACACAGAGTAGCGTATGTATTGCAGTGCGGGTCTTAGGCTAAAAGAGCGCAGTGGTGCATTGCCCGTCTGGTGAACAGCGGCGCACGCAGGGAAGATGGTCCGAGGCGCAAGATTCCCCCAAGAAACGCCACCTACACGTCTTCCAAGCGGTCGGCCAACTTTTCAATGTCAGGAAAGGTGTCCGCACTCTCGGTGAGATACGCGTCTAACCGCGCCACCCAGAGTAGTCGTGCCGACCACGGAGGAAGGGGACCGACATCGAGGTCCAGTACTAGTATCTGGAAAGCGACGGCTAATGCTTCCTTCCTTCGCCCAATGTAGCGCTCATAGAAAAGATTGCCTTTGGTCCTTGTGAAGGCGACACTGACGTAAGTCTAGGTGTCCCTGTATGTGAGCTTGATGCCACCCAGGGAGAGCTGGGGTACGACAAGACGAGCATACTGTCTTGCCCGGGTGTGTCACAAGTTAATCGAAACGTGGCTTTGAGCCTTGATTGTAGTCCAGCAGGTGACGTGGACACGAGTACTAGGTCTTCCGCATGCGCAAAAAAGAGATAAGTAAACCTCCTAGAACAGTGTCATCGTTATCAGAAGAGAGTCATCGTTATCAGAAGAGAGTCATCGTTACGAGGAAGCAAGTTGAGATCGGCTAAGAACAGGTTCCAGAGCATGGTCAAAGCCGAATCCCCGATGTGAACTCCGACCCCACCCTCAAAGTCTTCCGAGGCTCTTGTCAGATACCACTGTGCCAGCGCTAGCATAGTAGTATCTAACAAAACCCTTAAAAGTGCGTACGACCTAGGACATGCGTCTGTAGAGGTTGGGCAGCCAGTCGATCGTTGTCCCGCTGATCCCCATCCGATGTATCTTGACCCAGAGCAAGTCTCGATCAGTGAAAGGGAATGCGTTCGTGAGACAAAGACGACGTAGAGCTGGGCCTTTATTGCGTGTGCCTTCTCGATGAGGCATCGCAGGACGAGAGCGTTGTTTGCCGTGCAATATCCTTGCCGGAAGCCATTCTATGTCGGCGGCATTAGATCATGCTGGTCCGCTTATTGTAAGAGTTTTCTGTACGGAATTGTTAAAATACGGAAGTGGGATAACCGAAAAGCGCAGAACTGGCCTCTGCACAAGTAGAGTCAACATATCCAAGGCGATGCTCTCCAACCCCACCGTGCAATAACTAGCCGCCTCGTGCTCCGGCCTTTCCCACTTCAAAATGGCGACGACCTCCGTAGTCAGCCATCAACAAGTGACGTTATTATCCTCAACGCATTCAGCAAAGAAAACCGCAAGATTGTCCTTCGCTGTAAGCATGAGCTCAGACTTGGACACGCCGTTATAGCCTGGTGCACCCTCAAGAGAACGCATGTCCTTCACCTTAAAAGGATCTGCCTGGCTCAAGGCTAAGTGTGATGGTATAGAGGTTGCGTACCTGAAGACGGGCTGTGGGTTCATGATAGTGCAGCTTAACGCCGTGCAGTTGCACAGGTGGGATAGAGCCCCGGAGCAAACACGAGGTTGCTCAACGCGCAGCACGCGTGTCCTCGCTCCTGCGCATTAATCTACCCGCCAAAATGCTTCGTACTGTTTATTAATGAATACTTCGTAGGTCATCTCCGGTCATTAAACTCGGACTCAAAGCCATTATAAATTGGCGCAGCAATACCTTTGAGGCGTTTGGGTCGTAATGAAAATGCGGTGAGCGACGGCTTACAGACAAAAGATGATGCGGCTACACAACTCTTTGAAACGCAATGCCAAGTATGAACGCAGCACGATCAAGCACGGACAGCTGTAATTGGGTTGAAGGGGACATGCGGCAACGCCCGGGACGCCTGTGAGGGATAGAGCGTGAAGTTGAAAAGATTATGCAGCCAACCGCGAGCCAAATCATGCGTCAGCGGGCAATGGTTTGCACTCAGTGGATACCCATATGCCTTACACCGCGCGTAGTAACCAGAACGAGTGCATCATGAGATTGGAAAAGGACATGGGTTGGACAGAGTGCGTTGATCCGACGTGGGTGGTCGCATGAGCGAAAGACGTGCAATCATGCGTGCAAAGGCGAACGTTGTGTGCATGTTCCATCTCCGGGCCTCGTCGCGTCCGCTACCAGTCAAATAGGGCGTTTCTTAGACCCGCTGGACATTTATAACTTGACCTGACGAGTGAGCTTCTTGATCTTTAGGTAGAACGTTCGTACGTGACGACTCAGAGGTGGACGTAAGCACGCAAGTCGATGAAGCAGTTCTCCTCATTAGTGGTAAGATACCGTGAGCGGTCAAGGGCTTTGCAGTGATGTTGCCTAGTACTTATGGCGCCTCATTATGTCCAAAAAGAACATGTTAGACCGGATTGCTTTATGCCAGGATCTCCACGATGAAGCAAGAGTTCAGTACGAACTTGCTTCACTCAGAGACTGGACACTCGTCACGTGTGGTTCACGAGTTCACGAGGTGAGCGCGGTCACGCCACTTGACAGCTCACGTTGGCGTACGGGCGGCCGCTTCAACGCGGATACAAGCCCCTTGTAAGCAATAGATTGGTTGTAAGAAGACTAATTTTGGGTCATGAGATTTAAATATCGTATGTAATATTTTCTAGGCGCCGCCCCACGCAGAGAGTCGCAAGGAAAGTGGCGGCGCCAGCAGGACAGGGTGTAGTTCTATGGATGCCAGTGAGGCTTATGCGTCTTGTCCTAGGCGCCGCCCCACGCAGAGAGTCGCATGGAAAGTGGCGGCGCCAGCAGGACAGGGTGTAGTTCTATGGATGCCAGTGAGGCTCATGCGTCTTGTCCTAGGCGCCGCCCCACGCAGAGAGTCGCATGGAAAGTGGCGGCGCCAGCAGGACAGGGTGTAGNTCTATGGATGCCAGTGAGGCTCATGCGTCTTGTCCTAGGCGCCGCCCCACGCAGAGAGTCGCATGGAAAGTGGCGGCGCCAGTGTTGCGAAGACAAGCGTTTTGTGCATTTGGTGGCACGAAAGAACGTTCGATGCGGGCAGCCTCGGGCGGATTTAAGGCAAAAGTGTGGGAAAGACGCGCTTTGCTGGCTACCGGCGTCCACCGCCCACTCGGCCTCGTTCAAACGCTCTTGCGTAACATGCCTAAAGCAAAATCTGACAAGGAAGCGAGGAGCAAGAAGACCACTGTGGCATCGTTGCTAAAGGGTCTCGAGATGTTCGACATCGGACATAACCCGGAGAAGGGCGTTGCGAAGGCTGGGCCTGACGGAACTCCCGCACGTGGAGTGCGAATCCGAGCAGGCCAGAGAATGAGGAGGGATGGCGTCATGACCAGAACTGAAGGCCCTGCCTGGATGAAGTCAACCAGTACGCCAATCACGAGCTCTTTATGTTCGCCGTGCTGATCGGAAAGTAGCCATTGCCAACGTCAAGGATTGGCTAGGCCTGGACATCTACAATAAATGGGTCAAGAGCCGAGAGCGCATGGTGAGCGACGCAGTGTCACACAAAATCAGTACTACGGACCACACGCGCTATCCAGCAATCAGCGAAATCATCCCCAATCTGAAGAAGCGCTTCATACTTCGGATCCCTCCCGAGCTCAACCCGCCACAGCCCGTCTGTCTCGCACGCTGGCCAGGTTCAATTAAAAGAGAAGAGGCAAAGCGACTTTTCCAGCTTTGGGATGATTTAGTGAATCCATCCGATGGACGCGCCTTCGTCTTTCATACGCCCGATGCCGACAATCGTTCCGCTACGCCTGCCGCTCACTTTGGCTGCTGGTGTCACTACACAAACACCCCCCATATTACTGCGGACTCTCTTCCGGAAGATCCCATTGTCGCGGAAAGACTTCGTTTGTTTCTCGAATACGTGGGCGCTACGATTGTTCCCGCGGCGGGAAATATCCTCGAGCAAATTGCGCCGGCTCAGCTAGGAGTTGTCAACAAGTCAGCCATTGCAACTGTTGCCTTTCGTGAACTATGCTCACATTGCACTCCACAGGCTCCAAGAGTACTGTCTTGAAGAATGTGGCGAGAGTCTCAGGTCCCGCAAATGGTTACAATTCCAGTACTTCGTCACCATGGCGGTGAAGGAGGGCAGCTCGGAGAAATCGCATCTGGACCTTATGGATTGGAAGGATTGGCTTACTCTCGTGTTCTCCATCGGAACATACGAGAGCGACTCGTTCTTCGTGCTCCCGCAGCTGGGCTTGAAAGTCAACATGCGACCGGGTGATGGCATTGCCTTCCTATCAAATCACCTCATGCATTGGGCTACATATCCAACGGATGGAAGGCGTCTTGTATTCACCTGTTTTGTGGACAAGATCACATTCCTGCGCGTGTTTGGGCAGCAACGTTAATCTCATGCACAGACCCTACGTAGATTGAGAACAATCAGCATACCCTTGTTTTTGGCAGAAAAATTGTAGTGGGACACATGCAGTCGTATCTTTACAGCTAAAATATTAGCGCTTTGATCTCCTCTTAAGTTGAACTCACTTCGTGTGCCTCATTGTCGCGAGTTGCTGTCACGCCTTTCATACACCTCGCAAAGCGTGTTCGGCATGAATCTAGTGCATGAATCTAGCACGCATTCAGGTGTGCAAAAGATTCATGCATGGATTTGACCGGCATCTTCTCATATCTTCGTGCATAATTTACTCACCTGATCATGAGAATTGGAAACGGGTCGTGTGTTGATGATAGAGTGGATTCAACCGCGGCGTCAGCCACCTTGCGTCGTCACATACCCATCTTCTTCAAGATGATCGACTTACACTTCTCATCTCCAAAATAGGAATGATGACACTGATGCAAGGAGACTTGTGGTCGGTAGAATGCACTCTGGAACAATAGAGAGCATTCAATTTTTCATGGTTATTACCCTTCACTATTCTGTTCTTGTTGAATGCCCTGGATTGCGCTCTGATGGAATCAGAATTCCGTTCAAGGATCTTGCTAGCATGCATTGCAAGACCAGCGGACTGAGAACTTGCGAAAATCACAAGTCGTACCACGGCGCGGTGCCTCTCCCTCTCCCTCTCCCCCTCTCTCTATTGTGTTTCCCCACGTCACTCCACCCCACATTCCAGTCGTATGTATTGATGTGTCCATCAAGGGCTTCTGGACACATGACATACATTAGGCGCGCAATAGTCACGTTGTCGCGGGTATGCGGCAAATTCCGCGCAGTTTCTCACTCTCTTCAAACGAGAGAGGGGGTTTGGTTTGAGCGCGGCATCCTTTGTATAGCTGTTCTCAAGCGCTGGCCCGTCGACTTTATACAGAGAGAAGTAATGCAATCCGTACCAAAGACCGACAGTCAAGGGTCAGCATCGCTCCCGGTGCGTATCTGAGTCTCGTTCCTATCGTCCACACGACCTCATTCACTCGCCCAGCGTGGACCGTTTGAGTGCGTCATCTCAGAGTCGCAAAAGGAGCTCTCGAATGCCTTGAACGTGTGTCATCACACTCTCCGATTCGGGCTTGCGACCAAGGACTGATTCGCTTTGGGGGTCGTCGCAAGATCCTCAAGGCGACCCCAATGCGGACGCCCAATAGGGTTAATCTTCCTGCACATTCAAGTTCAAGGCCACTTGATGACAACGCACGGGGAAAAATCGATTTTGGAGAAACGGTTCTCCACGCCGACGCGAATGCTCTTGACAGGGTCCGCGGGCGGGATCCACGGGCAGAGGGTACGGTGCCCCCGTACGACGATGAGTAAGCAAATCATCGCGTAGTCGAGGCGCTTATCTCAGGGCGGAGCACAGCGTTTATGCAGAACAAGATAATCCCAATCGTAGCACCAGCAACATTGCTCTCATAGTTACACCAGTCTCGCCCCGCTCCTATCCCATGGCCAAGCTCGGGCAGGTGAGTCGGTTTATGTACAGACAAGCTGCGCAATAGAAACAGCTGCTGAGGTTGACGCGTTCTCTCATTCAGACACCACGAAGCGTCGCCGTGACGTGCAATGACGAGACCATTCGGAATGGGCAGGATGGGCTCTCAAGGCTACCGCCTCGAGCAAGACCCATATCGAACCTCGCCTGGAAGCCCTCAGCAGCATTCAAAACGCAAGCGGAGACATACGGTTGTGGAAAGGAGTCCGATGGAGTATGATTTGACTCCATTCCCTGTAGCTCACTGTCAATCACAATGTGCCGCCCAAGATCTCCCTCTTGAAGCGGCCACACGTCACTACCCACGCGCGTTGTGTGCTGCCGTAGGCTACTCATTGTAGCTACAGGTAAATAAACTGCATAAGCTGTCTGGAAGCCGTGTTCTACGCCAATGCTTGGACACAGACTGTAAACAATGACATTCAAGATCAGTAGAGAACGTATTTCTGCTGGGATAGCAAGACAAGCCTCCTATCGCAAAGGATCAGAAACGGCGGAAATAAGAGGAGAAAACATGTCTGGTCATCGAACGTTCTGTGTGAAGGGTGCGCGCATTCTCGTACTTTGACGCTGCAGCAACCATAGCTTACGTCAAAGAGTTCTTCTAGAAGCTTGCGACGACGCTGAGATGACGCGAGTCGAGTTTGGCTGTAGGGTCACCGTGACACTCCGCCAATGTGCTCAAATTGCAGGCGTCGACACCGGTCTTCTTCAGTTTACGACGCACCGCACACGAAAGCAATCTTCACTATGGCACGGGTCGACGCATACCGACGCAGTTGTGGTCTACAGTGGCACATAGGCAAGTCTCAAAAACAGTGATGTAAACGTTGCACTGTCTTTGCCAATACTGGTATGCCTGACATAGAGACTAAGATCGCTCAACCCTGCCGCTCCATCTCCTCTTCGCGCATTTTGACGTACTCCATCACCCACACAAATAGCTCCTGCATGTTTGTGAGTCCTCTGCCACCGTGGACTTCAGACAATTCGCTGACAAGCCAGCGTATGATGACGGCATCCTGCGTTTGAGCCGTCCAGCGTTGTCCAAACCGGCGCGCTGCCATCTCTCTCCAAGATCCAACGTCCTGTCGCAATAGGAACGATACGGGCTTTAACACATCTTCATAAGGGCATTGAGCTTGCGCTCTGAAACCACCCGCAACAGAAGGGTGTTCGAGTCCGGCGACGTTGAGAGGTAGGTGACAGCGAAAGCAGACCGGATGAGTTAGCGAGCCCCGGTACCGGATTAGTTTGTTAATTCTTGAGTAATCGCCCATGTTGGAGACATCCTTCAGACTCTCGCATTCTTTAAAAAGGTCGTGTGCAGGGCGGCTTACACCGAACATGAGGCAGACCGGACAGCGCTCGTTAAGCCATTGCAGCGCTTGAATTAGAGGTAGAGCCACAGTGGCATCCCTTGTCATTCTTGCCGAACGGCTTTCCATAGATGTGATCCGAGCGGCGTCGAAAGAAGGGCGATAGTCTCGAGACGCTTTTGCCGGAGAAGCATTGCACCGCACCCCAGTCGTGCTAGGAAGCGAGTGACTACCGACGTCGTGCGGTCGCGCTTCAGACATGTCAGGCACTTCTAAGGCTGGCTCGGGGCTGCATCTAGAGCAAGAACGGTTGGAGGACTGGGACGTATCAGAGCACTTCACCGCCAGGTCCTCCCCGTCCACAAAAGACGTCAGTGACTCTCTGATGCACCCTGTGCTACTGGCCACAATGCTCCCCATGGCACGTACTCCACCAAGATCTGGAACTGGAGGAGCGGGCTTGAAACGCCCGTCAGCCACAGGGATTATGACTGCGACGCCCTCCTGCCCACGGCCTCGCCCGCACCTGCCTGACGCCTGATGGAAGTTGATCATGCTCGCAGGACGCCCTATGAAATAGACGACTTTGATACCCGGATCATTATGACCTGCCTCCATGGCCGAAGTTGCCACCATAAAAGGACCCGTCTTTCCACTGCACCACTGTCGGAGAAGACGATCCCGGTATGCCTCTGTGGAATGAAATCCATGCTCAAGGTGGTTGCCTGCCATCTGGCCGCAGTAAAAGCCAGGACTTAGACCCTCTCGCTCGAGGGTCTTCATCGTCGTCTTACCGTCCTCGCCCGTCTCGACGAATATGATGGCTCTGGACTTCTCATCAAAGCCGCGACGACGGAAATCGTGAAAGACTTGGAGACAGGCCTCCTCTATGCTGTTCGCCTCCTCTTGAACAATATATCTCATCTCCGGACGATTGGTGCTCGCTCGAATGACCTTCGTCTGCTCGCCGGAAAGGAGATGGAAATGGTTTTTCAAGACGCCCACCATGGCTGGGGGGACGGTGGCGCTTGTCAACACCATCTGACACGGGAAGGGGACTGCGGAACGAATGATTTGACCTTCTATTCCCTTTAGCAGCCGCCTGAAGCTCTCCTGAAGGATCCACGTCTGTGGCTCGTCGACGAAGATTCGACATCGCTTAAAGGACTGACACTGAAACGCACGCGCCACGTCGACAAAGAAAGATGTCTTGCAGATCTGATCGGCAGAGACTAGCACGATGTGCCGGTCTGGAAGGAGTTCCTTTCCCGGAAGATAGTCTTGAAATGCGAGCAGTGTCCTCCTCAGCGACTCTCGAGTGTTGTCGCCGACGGCGTTTAGAGGGAAGACAAAGATTGTCAGCGAGTCACGATCCAACTGAGATACTGCCATCCCGATCATCGACTTGCCGCTTCCTGTGGGAAGGATGATGATGAGATCGCCCTTGTATTCCAACACCTCAAAAATTGCCACCATCTGACCCTCGCATGACCTTAATACAAAAGGTTTCTGAGCGGCATCCAATGTCATACCGGTGTCTAGCCGCACAAGCTGCGTGAGCAAACGGATTACCTCTGTCGCTTGATCTGCACCTTCTCGTTTGCTTCCAACTGCTTGCAAGATTTGGGTCAGGCTTCAAAGAGCGTCTGTGTTTGGCTTCTGCAATCGCACCTATAACATTTGTGCCCTTCATCACGACCTCAGCCCTCTCGCTGGAACACCCAGCGCTTTGTATTTGAGCGCTAAGGCAACTTGATTGGCTCGGGATGTGATGGTCTTGCGACTCCACGTCCGTGATAGTTCGCGTGCTTGGCAATCCGCAGGACGGCTCCCCTCCGTTGCTGTCTTTAAACGATACGCGTCAGACGCTGACACCTATGTTCCAAAAGAGAAAGACCGGCCTATCTGGGCGCGAAAAACTCCCGTGAGCTGGGTCGACGTCTCCGGGCCCGCTCTCGAGATGCCGCCTGACGACATTGGGGAGACAATATTCTCATGCCTTGCGACAGGCTCTTCTGAAGGTAGTCGGTCGTGGCTCCCGTCACCAAAGATGGCAGCGTCCTCGCTCATTCCGGCATCGAGCTTAGTTACGTCAATCCGAGAGAGAGGGCTGGACATTGGAATTCCTATTTTTTCCAAAGAAGCCCTGACATGGGTCGCGAATGTCTCAGCTTGCTTTTGAAGGATGAAGTCGAACGGAGAGTCGTCTATCCTCCACTTCGGGTTGAATTTCGAATGATGACAACCGGTCAGCGTCGTGAGGGCTTCTCCCGCTGAATGACCATCCCCAACGTCAACCGATGAGTTTCATATGGCATAACTATGACCGGGCAAACTCACCAGGAATAATTTCAAAGCGAATATGCATGAGTCGGCAGGCCACGCGGCACTCATCCCAGAGCTTCGAGCTACCTCCGGTCGGCAGCTCGCTCAAGACAGCATAACGTTTGAATTCCACCGCAGAGCTATGCGACGCCATGAAAGCGTCAACGTCCGTCGAATCTTCTTTTGCGTTCTTGAATGCGATCATCGCCTGTCGCACAAACCTCAGCGTCATCGAGACTTTGAGGTATTGAGAGGTCCAAATCGCAAGCAAGTTCGAGAGGTCGTCGCATTTGAACTCCCGACCATACGACAGGAATAACCTGCATCGGTACTTCTCAAGTATCGTCTCGTTGTTCGGGAAGACGGTTTGAGCCAGCATGATTGCAAAGGGGCGAAGGATGGCAAGTTCGTGCAGTAGAACGTAGCTGAGATGGGCGTCCAAAATGTCAGGAATCAGCTTCAGCTGGCCGGTGGTCGGGCCCATCTTGTGATATGTCTTTGCAATTACCAGCCCATTTCGGTAAACTACCAAGTTTCGCATATCCCCGTCTCTTCCGCAAGCATAGTTTAGAGCGGTCAACTCCGTACTACGCGCGGGACCACCTCCTGCCAGCGTGAGGGCACTCATATTAAGGCCACTAAGCTCCGCGAGCTTTCCCATCCACTGTCGCGCCACCGTGGACAGCACATGCCATTCACCGTCCGCAGACTGGCGAAAGAACTTGCGCCTTAGCGCCGGCCTGCTTGCAACCCTATGCAACAGTATGTTCTCATTCCCGTCCGGGTAGAATAAAGAAGAGTTGCGACCGTCCTTGAATAGCGAGTAACAGTAGCTTTGCTGTTGAGGATTATCCACGAGGGTTTTCCCGGTAAAGTCAATGAGAATGTCCTCCTCACCCATCAATAGTTCCTTCAAGACCACATCCTGACGATCATGCAGCGCGTGCATCATCCGTGCCCAGTCGTCCACGTGAATGTTCCATCCGTTGTAGTTGAGTATCCGCCGACTATCTGGATCGACCCAGTACATGGTTGGAGCAGACGGCTGGCTCATCGCAATCGAAGACGCAAGGTGCTGGGTCTGGATAAGCGCGCTGAAGGTTGAATGATAACCTTCGGTATAGGACTTCTGAAGAAGCAAAGATATTTCGTCAAGACTTGGGCTTCCCGGTAAGCTCTTCCGTAACCGATGCATGTGCACTAGCATTACTGTGCGCTGTGAGATGTCGTAAGTCGATTCCCCATCTTTTCAAATTTTATTCAGGGAGTGATCCACTCACAACGTTGCGCTCCAGTCTGGCTAGCGTTGGCGTCAGATCTTTGGCATCCTTCCAACGGCCGTCACGGTCCAGCATTGTGAGCATCACCGTTTGCATGACGGGATCCGGAATGGCGTTGTTCTCGCTGGGCTCCCATGTACGAGTATAGATGGCAACGAGCAGCGCCAAGACCGTCTCTTTTACTTGAGCGGGAGAGTACGTTGCGTTAGGGGCCATGAGAGCGTCGTTCATTTCCTCGACGAGACAAGCGATATCATCAGGAATGTGTGAGTCATAAGTTGGCCTCTCGCTTTTCCTTGTTCTCTTCAAAAAGAGAAGAACCCTGTAACACTCGTTGTCGTAGGCGTGGTCCCCCTTCTGTAGCCGTTTAAAAGGAGCGTGTTCGTACCCACTAAGATAGAAGAGGTTAAGATTGCAAACGTCAGACGGGTGTTTGTCCGATCTCACTCGCCTTTTCTTTGGGTCGGCCGTCACGAGTCTCCTCAAGATAAGTTCGCTCGTCAAAGGTATAAGACCGTTGGCCTGCTCTGTAATCTCCCTCACCGCACGCAAAAGCCTCGAGGGTGGACCAACGTCCTTGGGTAACTCCGTCAGACCAGTAAGGTACGGAAAGTCATTACGTCCTTTCAGAGCCTCAGAGTACCTCAGCCTTTGAATCCACTCAGGATGCCGACGCAAATCCTGCTCCTGTGCTGTCACGCTTTTGAATTGCAACCTTTGCGTCCTTTCAAGCTGCGCGACAAAGTCCGAGATCCCGGCGTCTTGCAAGACTGTGTTTCGAACGATCACAGGAAAAAACTTTCGTGCAGGCCCCGCCGCCGTCGTCACTTGCTGCATGTCCGCGCGAGGGAACGCTTGATTACGGTCGAACTTGGTTTGTGGATGTTTGCTGCGGTAGTGCGAACGAAGTGTGCTAATTGCATGGAATGATGAGCCAGGACACTCAGGACATTCGTAGCCCACGAGGATTTCGATGCCGTCATACGCGTCTCGTATATGTGCTCCCGGGTCTACCCAATCATCCGACAACTCAACGCCCGTCGAGCCGATTGCGAGCCGAAGCTTCTGGGGCTCTAGAAGAGGAAGAGTCTCCTTATGATAAGAGCGAAGATGAGTGCGGACTTCCGCTTCTAGCACCGCCCTCTCGCAATCCGAACAAACGAGATAACGTAGCACGGGGTTGATCGAGAGACCGAGAGTCGTTAGATACCCCTCGCTGTCAACCCGTAGCTGTGAGATGGCGCAGAGTATCAGCATGAGACTACCAGCACAAAGCGTTTTTGGAGCTCACCCCGGCTGACGACGAGGGTCTGGTCAACTTGTTATCGTCGTCAACATCATCAGCGGTCATGTGTTCTTCTTCGTTAGGCCGCTTTTGTCCTGCAAAGGCTCCCTCTTCCTCCCTCTGCACCGCCGTTGCTGGCTGCTGCTGAAAGTCGACACCCGTACAAGCGTCATCACTGGGTTTTGCCAAGCTCTCTTCGGAGGATACGCGAAGATCCTTCTCCGGTAAAGAGCCTAAAATCGCTGTACTCGTCGTTTCACCATCTCTCATCTCAATATCAATGTTGGAAACTGGGCCTGAGCATGCATTGTCCGTTTCTGGTCCATCATAACCAAAAACACCATTCGATTGCCCTTTTGTCGTCTCATATGCTGCTCGTGCTCGTATCGCCGCAGCATGTGCAGCTTCCGACTCCCAGTAAAAGACGGGCGCGTTTTCGCGCTTAAGCTGTAGAACGCCATTAGCGCCTTCTCAATGCCACAAAGTTGAAGGCTTCGAAGAGCCAAAGCAAGCGTGAAGGAAGGAAGCGTCGACATCGCCTAATGTAACGAAAATGAACAACGGAAGGTGTCCGCTTACTATATTCGCAGAATTCGGGTCGGTCCATCTTGAGCCAATGCGCTTGATGTGCTTTGCAACGGCGCTGCCGTTTGATCGTAGAGAGAACCCGTAGTCATCCTGCGTGCAAGAGGTACAAAAGCATGCTGACTGCACAACCCCGTCGATCTTCACATGGAGTGGCGGGTATATGGTCTCGGTACTGCCATCATCGTAGGTGAGATTCTGGGCCTCGAATCGTGGGCAGTTTTTCTTGTGCTTTTGCATAGAGCCCTCGAGCGACTGCCCACACTTGTCACACGTACGCAGCATCTCGCAAAGACGGTCTGGAGCGCACGTAAGGAGGTAAAGAAGAGATATGGAGAGACACCAGACAGAGAAGAGGGTAAAGTTGTACCAATCGACAAGTAGAGTGAAGGCGACTTATACGACTCCCCATGCCCCCCCATCGGACTCTTTCCGTAAACAGCCCGCAAGCCGCAGTGTCGCTCTCTCATAAATGTGCTACAGTGTCTTCTTGCGTCTGAGCCATCCAGTTACAGGTGCACAAACTGCTTTGGGAGAAGGACACCGAGACTTACCGACGATACCAAGAATACGAATACGAGACCGCATTCTGGCTTGACAGACATTGTAGCTGCAGAAGTCCTCGCTTGAAGACTCTTGCACGGTGTGTCAACGTCCTGTGGCAGTATCAAAGATGAACAGTGTGCTCCCCATGCACCTATCCTAGCATACGAGTGAGACAGAAGCACAGATAAGCGGATGGACCAGCAATACAGCGCTACCTACGCGCAGCTCGCAGCTATCTTCACCTTCCGTAGTACGCATGTATTGCTTCAAGACCATGATTGCAACGTGGTCTTGATAACGATGCAAACATCTTGGCTTGTGCGTGATGAGCACCTTTGCCAGCGACGCGCTCAGTGCAGACTCACCTTCATCCACTACGTTATAGAATCGTATTGCCGCTCTTGTAGCACTCCGCAACTCGCATGTAGCACCATGGTTAGCCTGGACGAAGGTCTTTAACCGTAACGGGCGGGTTAGCTCAGACAAGAAGCCAGGGCGGCGTTGCCTACAACCCATCAGTTTCAGCTGGGAACATGAGCGCCCCACAAACTATTTTATCTGCACCTCACGCACTGTATTGTAGGCAATGACGCAAAGGAGAAGAAAGAAGGAGGAGGAGGAGGAGGAGGAGAAAACTTGAGTCGGACTCAAAGCAACTAGCGGCGCGGGCACGCACTGACATCCAGGCCGCCCGTCTAAAGCCTCACATACTGCGGCAAGAAGCGTACGATCAACCCACAAGACGCGACGCCGTCCCTTCCATGTCTCTATAAGCTTTGATACACCGTTCAAAGTAAGACCAGAACGGGATACAGTCGCGGGCACTTTACGCCGGTTGCCAATCCAAAGGAGCGCCGACGCGCCGATTGGACCGGCTCTTTCACACTGCTACAGGTGATGATAGCCAGACTCTCGAGGTCTCTGCTCATCCTGAACTCCCACTACAATGAATACCTATTCCATCGCGGAGTTCCGAGAAAATGCGGAAAGGCGGATCGTCGATGCGATTGTCAAAGAGTTATCGGACACCGTCTGCGCCGCGTCTACCGACCCAGATCTTAAGCATGAAGACTCGCGGGACACCCTGGCCTTGCGCGTGTACGAACTGTCGGCCAACCATTACCGTACATTGGTGCGCTCAAATGTAGATAAACGTGAACACATATACTCACTCTTAACCGTGAAGGACGGCATGCAACAGCGACAGTGGAGGGATAGCGTGAAGCGCGCAATCCTGCGTGCATTAGACATACCAGAGGAGATTTCTAACCTGAACATGAGCGAATGCGTGAGCTTTCACGTCGCAATGGACGCAATATTCACCACAAACTTCAGTGCGCCATACATCGCGCTTGTTGCTCAGGAGTGGGCACCACTTGGGGAGAGGCGTATGAGACTAGAGAAGCGAGTGTTCCAGCAAGTACGCCAGTAACCATCCATGGCATGGCCTGCTCAAGCTGACTGGCAGTCCAAAACTAGCGCAACGAGGGGCTCCTATCGTTCTCAGGCTTCCGAAAGACGCTCTCGCGCGGAACTATCTTACTCTCCATCGATTTCGAATGGCTGAACAGCGGGAAGGATATCACCCTTCTCGAAGCCGGCTTTGCTCGTTGGGATATACAAAAGGAAGAGTTGGCCTGCACGCACCATGCAAGCACAGATCAATGGATGAGCGTCCGTCGGTTTTCAAATGATAAGGTGCACCATCCCACTGTGCGTACATTTCTGTTTAATCTGATATCTCTTTCTTTACCCAACAATCTGACGGAAATACGGCTAGACCTTTCAGTACGGTGAAAAAACCGTCGTACATGCGGACTACGACGCTTTTGCGCGCGGCATTTGCGGCGAGATCGAAAGCGCTGGCCAATCTGCAGCCGAACGCGGTGGCAAGCTTGTCATCGTCTTATGGTCTGGCACCTACGATCAAAGGCACGTCCCGATGCTACGCACGTTTTCTCGAACGTGGTTTGTTGAGCTCTAGTATGCGTCACAGATTGCTGAGATACACATTGGATATTCCTCTCAGTCAATACGAGATTGTGGATGTCTCGGACGTCTGGTGTGAGATGGAGAACAGCACCGGATCAACGCGCCGCTCGCTGTCTGACGCGGCGCGATGCGTGCATGGACGAACCATCGCAGAGATGTCACACAACGCTGGGAACGACGCGAAGCACACGATGGACGTTGCCCTTTCACTCTCACAGCATAATACAGTTGAGGAGGCCCGATTTATGATACTGGGAGCAGCACTTATATCGGATATTCCCTCTGACGAGATGATCCGTGACCCTAGAGCACCCCAAAACTTTTTTGACGCCCTCGCTGCAAGAATGAATTGAGAATATGTGATTCTGACCAAGTTTCTCACCGGCTTACTGTATTACGCTGCGTTCATGTTAGAACATATACTCTTGTAGTCTGACTGTCCGCATAACACCTCCCTTCAGAACAGTTTTGGATCCCATTGTTGACAATTGTGACACTCTCGGCCGTCATCTTCTAGGTCCGTTATGAAAATCACCTTGATAACGGCAGCATATTCCACCAGCAACTCTATGACTTACAGGGGGTGCTGAAAGAAAGGAGAGCAAACAGTGGCTCCGCTCCTGGCGTATGGAGCGTGTCATGCACGGTATCAGATTGCTATCTACCACGAGATCACATCTTGCATGCAGTCCAAAAAATACGGCCCTTCCGTCATCAGGTGAGCTTCCGGATAGACCAGCCGTATCTAGATGCACGAGCCGAGCTTGACCAGTCAACGCGCCTGCTACTGTCCAATCACAGACTGCGTCGTCGGTGATTGTTCCTTTCGTAGCGAGTCCCTTATGACGCTCGCTCAGGCTGCATATGCTCCTTCCTTCCCATAAGACTCAGCAGTGCACTCTTGCCGCCTCCTTGATTCCTGATCTACGCCAGCTGGTGTCTTTGGCTCGCGATGTATTGGGAGTCAGGCTGCACACTCGGAAAGGAAGCCTCGAAGATGGAGATTGATCAAGCTGGTACGTGTATTGCTCACCCACCTTAGAGGCCCCAGTCTTAATCTCCTCCCTCAATCAGATTCCCCAATCAGTTCGTCATCCGCTCTTTGCACCTGCGAGCCACGCCCAGAGCGCGAAGCGACGTGCACACCACTCCAGCCAGTTGCGACCGTCACACATGACTCGCGACCACCTGCTGGACGCCGCAGAATGTCTGTCGCAGAATTTACCTTCCACAATCAGGGCATTGGACGGAGGATTGTTCCGGCAGTACTTGCACATTCGGTGAGAGCAAATGACATGCCGCCGACGGGGATGGCGCATGAAAGAAAGAGAAAGAGAAGCGATAGAGATCGTGATGATGTACGGCTTCTTGGGTTAGATGCGCACTTCATGGATCTAATAGATCGTCAGGATCCGTGCTCAGCTTCGGAATCGGAAGACAGGGAGCTCTCAATGACAAAGAAGCGCTCGAAGCTTGGAGGTTCCTAACCCTGATCAATGCACCATCTTTGCATCACTCCACGCCCCTCCCCCTCCCGCTTGTGCGTGTAGGGGTTACACACGACGAGATGTTTACATAGAAGCTTCGGCATCTCCCTGTATAATCATTGCAGCAGTAGGCAAAGACAGCGAGGCAGAATACGCAAAAATTTGATGTCTACCACAGCAGGATGAGAATCAGCGGAACCACGCCAGGCCCCTCGCGCAATGTGCGCGTCATCTTCTAAGCGTCCCTATCAAATATGACTTTGGGCATGAGAACGGCGCTTTGCCCACTCTGCCTTCTGGCAATGCTTGCGATGGTGAACACCACGCATTCAAGATCTCGTTGGAGACGGGCTCCCACGAATCGTCAGAATCACAGGGCCGTATAGTCGCTCCGATAAGCACACACATGAGACCTTTTCGTGCCTTCGGTGACGATGAGACTCATCTGGATTCGCTTAGCTCGCGATAAATTACGTCTGCGCGTGAGATGGCGCTTGGCCGTTTCATACGAGCACTACGCGGATCGCGACCTTGGACTTTCTCGCCCACGCACCGTACCTTTGACCGCCCGCCATGACTCACTTCATACTGGAGAAAACCGTGTTCGTGAGCACTTCTAAATGGGGGGACCATTCCAAGGACATACGAGACGTAATGGGAAGGTGAGCCTCGCCACAACTCTCGACCATCGTATGAACTCGAGGTTTGCGCAGTCAAGGTCTCATTGTTTGTTGCGAGCTACGACGGACCTCGCAGAACCGGTGAATACTTTTTTTTGGAAAAGCACGCACGGACGGGCTCATAAATTTCAGACGCTGGATCGTCACATTCAAGCATCAGGAGGATGCACAACAGTCCCTGAAAATGTGAGACCCACGTTCAAGCCAGCCCGACCGGTTTCTCTGACCACAAAGTTTGACTGCAGGAATGGGATGTTCCTTGAGGCTATTGGTACACTCTCCGTTAAGGTAAGACGAGATCAGTCGTGCAATTGCTGCAAACGTCTTATGCGCCGTGCGCTCTGAAGAAGGCCAGGAAGGGAGACGACCTTTCTTGTAACGCATACAAGACAGACCTGACAATCAGATCAAAGCCGCCTTACCATCGATCTCGCAAATGCAAAATCCGGCGGCAAAACGAGCCGCGTGAAGCCAAGGAGTGCCCGTTCTCAAGGTCGCGCTAGGCGTCGTCGGTGAATTATATCGCGACTAAAGGAAGGATATCGGCTTCACATGAATGAGCAAGACGGCTCGTGAAACCGTCTACTTGTTTTCTACCATGATCGCGTCGAGCTCGCCTGTACCAGTACACTCACCGCTTTCACTCCCAATACGCGGTGAAGCTCTCTGCCGCACGTTTACGTCACTTGACTGCAACCAAAAGCACGCCCAGACTGTGTCATTTGGACTGACACTGCATAAGACGCGCATCACTACTACGTCACGCATGATCCCGCGCACTTCCCTGAGCTGCGCTCTACGTAGAGCTTCCGATGACTCGCACACTCTCCCCATTCATTTTTCGACCATACCTGAGACGTGCTTTACGACTCGTAAGTCTGGGATGCCGCCCTCGTATACATCGTGCGTATCGCACAATGCGCAGTTGAATATACTAGAGTGACTTATGTTCTCACTCGTGTCTCAAGGTGAACTGCAACATATGCTCTAACACTAACCAGAAACCTAGAGCTCAGCTGTGCCGCAGAGTACTAAGGTTGAAGATTAAGCACAGATCTGGTCAAGACAACATGTAGTGGGCTGAAGAGTCGTCCAAACTATGAAGGTATGGAACAAATCTTAACGTATTGACTATCGGTGCGCCAAACCTCACAATTGAGCTAGTGAAAGATCAGAATGACGGTCTTGGCGGACCTTGAACTCGTGGCCGAGGCAGAGGTTCTCGTGCCGCATGACTTCTGGAGCGAGCGGCCGGTAGGTGGTAGCTGAGCAGCAGCCGGGTAAGCGTGATGCAATTATTCTCGCGGAAAACGCTCAGATACGGTCAGAAACGCATAACCGAGGCCGCTCCCAACGGGCCGCCACGCGAGGATGGCTCGCAGCGGTCTTGGAACAGATAAAGCTTTGTCCTGGTGTCCAAGTCGTGTTCGAGATGTGTCTTCATGACTTCATTGGCATGATTGATGAGCGCATCCGCCGCACCATACTGCTTGTCACCTCGGACAGGCGGTAGCACAATGCAGGTTGAAGGCAGTGAGTACCTCAACATGAAAGCGAAATCAACAACCTTAGCCCGAGATGGTCGTTTCGCACAGGACAAGTGGGTCTCAATGAGCCGCACTGACACGATCACAACTCAGGAGGGATATGACGTAGCGTCAGTATTGCAATCCTAGCATAGCTCGTCGTGACTGCAGAGGCGCGATCCCCGTCTCCCTGAAGAGATGGCCGCAATGAGACAACTGCCCGAGGTCAACGACGCTCCGCAAAAACACAATCTACTCATCTTCGAGCGGCTCCGCAAGCTTATCTTTATCTCAAAGTATGCTGGCTCTGCCAGTGAGATGCGGATATATGCGCACCATGTATATAAATTCAGTGGCCACGGTGGACTGTGACCGAAGTCGAGGTCACGGCCAAGGATAGTGTAAGCCCCGAAGACAGCTTTCTTCTTTCAGCCGTTGCAGTGGCTCACCGGTTTATTGCGACATGTGCTCGTAAAGGTGACACTGACATACGTCTACGTCCCCTTGTATGAAATCTTCATCCCATCCTGACGGAAGCGAGGGAGAATGCGGGGAGGGCGGCAAAGAGAATTCTGACGAGCTTCCTTAGGGTGTGTGACGAGCGGGTTTGCTGCGCAGTAGCGAAGAACAGGGCTGAGCCGCGCCTGAAGTTCTGGGACAACGTGGATACCGGGAAGGGGTCATCGGCATAGGTCGAGAGTGCGATTCGCGCCACCCCTTAGACCGGATCTTCGTGCCGTGCGGGGAGGTCCAGATCCGCGAGGATGTGGCATGCGGCGGTATAGCGAGCGCAGTCAGTCAACTGCTGTACCTGAGACTCCCACGCGGTGCAGCTCGACTCACAGAAGATTCCTATCCGTGCACAGGGATGCGTTGGTGACGTCTACACCTACAAAGACAACGTAAAGCGGTGTATTCACCGCGCGTGCTCTCTTGATACGACACCGCAGGAGCAGAGCCGTAGCCGATAGGATGTTGTGACGGTCAAACCACTGCACGAGCCGTCTATGCACGAAAAGCGTCAGCATTTTGAGCGCATTACTCTCCAGCTCCACAGTCCGATAGCTCGCCGCCTCGTCGTTGGGTCTCTCGCGCTTGACGATCACGACAGATGTTGTAGTGAACCACATCTCTCGCATGTCTGTCGCTTCAATGCACTGGGAGAGCATGGAGGTCAGCTCGTCACAGAAAAACTCGCATGAGGTCGGGCGTACAGACGCCATTGTAGCCTGCTGAACTATCCTGGGATAAATATCGAACGTGCATGTGCTTCCTGAGCCAGCCATTGGCTTTGACGGT